ATATAATATTTCCCTTAAACAAGAATAGTTACCATTATTGAATGATGTCTTCTCAGGTATTGCAGCTTGCTCCACATAATCATTTTCATTAGCAGTCTTTGTCATTGGAGGCATGGCCAATGGAGAACTTTGAAAACTGAAAAGTCAATTAAATATTAAGTAATTGGATTGCCTGCAGGGTGACTAAGGATGATCATGTAACATGGTAATCAATTTTGAATTTTAAAAAATGAAAATAATATAAATAAATTAATAAACATGAAAGATGCATGTGTGTGCTTGTAGGAAGTCAGAATTATAAATTTATTTGGAGTAAACTACCAAACTGTGTATATTGCAGATTTTTTTTTTTACCATTTTATCACATTAACACTATTTAGTATACTGTTCATGTTTATTCTGTAAGTGCATCTTTTTTTCTAGTGGAAATAAACTAAAATGTGTACACAGCTATTTTAAAAATGTGGAAATAGATTATTATATATTATTGATTAATCTCTCTTTTATATCTGCACTTTGTAATACTACTATATGTTTTCTTGTGCATGTTACATGGATTAAAAAAAAAAAATCATATAATAAAACAACACTAAGGTGTCACTTTAATGCTCAAGGTATACATAGAGAAAAGACAACAGAAATCTAGGAAAAATATAATTCTTATAAAACAAGATTTGTATTCACTTCTTATCCATAATAGTTAACTATCAATTTAATTCAAATACACTTCCGCATCAACGAAAACATCCACAGATTAAAACAAATGCTATAAAATTGAGTGGCTCTTTAGAGAGTATCCACAAAAACAGTATATCAACAGTAATTAAAGAAAATATCTCATAAAATAAGTTAATACAATATCGCAATTTAGTGCACCTTCCATAATATATATTGGTTTCAAAAGCAGCAATGGTATAAGTATATGTTGCAAAAGCTTTGGTTAGCATGCTATTTTTCAGTAGCCTTATAAGTAATGCACTATTTTGTCTTTTATATGAAATGTATTAGTCATATAGAGAGGAAAAGTAGCATGGTGGTAATATGCCCTTCAAACCCATGGATCTAGGTTCAAATCACACAGGAAATTTACTGTCTTAACCATTAAAACTTCACTCAATGAGTCACAGAAGAAGGCACAGAGAGTATTGTTTGATTGTAATTGTGGCATGGAGAAATGATGCATGTATAAAACATTGTACATGACATAAAAAAAAAACCCCATAATACATGCATGTGACTCATGCATGAACCAACATCATAAGGAATCGTCCAAAAACAAGCTTCATTAATAATAATAATAATAATAATAATAATAATAATAATAATAATAATAATAATAATGGTATGGTTTTGCTTAAATTAGGCTTATTGAAAAAATATCCTACAGGTCTATAAGCCTTTTGCATCATTGCTTTATAAGTTGAGTAAGAGTGTCCAAAAACCTAACTTTTCAAAGAAGGAGACTATATAATGTACATAAATTTAATGCCTTCCCCCTGTTTAATAGTAAAGCTATTTGCAGCTTGCCGGCATACTTACTTCGAAGCAGGTTCGACCTTCAGCGTTCGTTTTGGGATTTGCAAGGGTGCTAAATTCTCATTGTTTTCCTGGGTAACATCAGTCTGGTTGTTAACGATAGCGTCCTTAGGGACGGACTGCTGCGGGCCGTTGTAGCCGGCCCGTGCGGCATTGGGGCAACCAGATGCGCTACGGTGCGACGCATACTTTCCCGTTATATGACCAGAGCCATCACAACCTGGAATTGGGCACCTAACAAAGATTTTAAGAGACAAGGAAATAAAAACTAATCTAAAGAATTATATCATAAGGAAAAAATAATAACTAAGAAATACTTGGTCTGATCTTACTTGAGTGAATAAATGAACCTGATAGAACAAACTAATTGAGAGGGTAGTGTATTAGTAATCAAAATATCACTTGAATGCCTTTGATTTGTGGAATAAATTAAACAAATATATTATGAAAAAAGATTATTTTCTAAATTAGTGATAGTCTTGTGATCAAGATTTTAATTTGTAATTAGTTAATCAATGTCATTGAATTGAAGTATTTCTTTTAATAAATGAAAAAAAAAACCAAAAAACAACAAACCAATAAATGAATGAAATAACAAGTCATCAGATATTTCTATTAAAAGTTAAATAATATGATTTAAATACATCATTTACACAAAAATCAAATCCTCATTATACACGAAAGGGGCATTGCAAAAAATCTCAGCTTCATCCATCCTATCCCAGTTAATATGGTGAATTGAATTGTACAATTAGGCATTGATATGCTAGGCTTTTGGTTACATTTTTACATATGGTTACATTTTTGCATACTTTAAAAACAACATAGTAACATGCCAAGATGCGAGGTGTCTAAATCCATTCATTTATATGCATAACATTCCATGGAGCTGTTTCAACATGCCCGGTATCCATGTTGCACGTCAACTTACTTGATAAGCAGTTCATCCTCTTCCGTGCCCTCTTTCTTCACCGGTGACATGCCCTTCTTCTTAGCACGTGGGCAACCAGAGAGGCTGCGATGAGAGGAGTAGTTGCCGGTCACATGACCTGATCCATCACAACCAATTGTGGGACACCTACAGGATTTCAAAATTGAATGTGTAATTTGAAATATCTATTAACAAATACTAAATTGGTAGTGAAACCCATCACTAACTGACTTTAAGAAGGGGAGGGGGAATTAATAAAACAGCAGTAAAACCATGTAAACATTCTAGGAAATGATAGCTTTGTGACAGGTTTTTGTTGCTTTTAGAGGGTAGGAAATTGTGCCTATTTCCAAGAGTTCTGCAATTAGTATTACACTTGGTATAGCTGTATATGGCACATATTAGATCTATTTTGGTGATCAAGAACTAGTAGCAATCTTATGACATTTTTTTGGAACAACAGACAGTGCATAATATAATTAATGTAAGAGGATTTTTAGTAACTTAAATTGTACACTTTTGTGGGGTTTTTTGGAGTTTAATTTACTGGTTGGTCCCTTTTCTATATTTCTATTTCTAATCTATATAATATAATACACACAATAACATAGCATAACATATTTATGTTGGACATTAGTCTTTACAAACCCTATAACAATTCTTGTAAATGACATTGTGAACCTGGCAACCACCCACTCTGGTTGCTAAGAGTATTGCCTTACGTATCTTCGTCACTGCTGATGTATGTTCATCACTACTGATGTATGTATGTAACTACTACTGGTTACACTTCAGTTAATATTATTGTATGTACTCATGCAAACATTACAACAATCATTCATGGCGCATATTAGTTACAATCATGACTGCAGGCAATGCGTGTTATTTACACATGACTGTTGACCGTACGTGCTAGTTACGCATTATGATATGTGCTCACCTTAATTCTTGTGACCCTTGCACTATTTGGGATTTATCAGCATTTGGACAACCAGATAAGCTGAATAACAAAGAAGAACGCATGTGTTTATTTGTTTAAAACATCTGGTACACCAATCAATGAATAAAAACTACTACTAAAAATCAAATGGTTTTTAGACAATTATAATGTTTTGACTTTTCTAGTAAATTAATAAATAGAAACTGCAAATTCTAAAGCCTTGGAAATAATGCTTAAGTTTATATATAATACAAAAATTCTTTTCGTTCTTAAGTATCATCTACATATTTCAAGTCTAAAGCTTTGTCCACACTATTCAATTTTCTTTGACAAAAAACTCTGGTGCGCACATATATAGTCATGATGTGCCTATATATGGTCATGATGTGATGTCATCACGACCATATTCAGGCATGTCACTTGTTTTTGTCAAATAAGATTTGATAGTCTGGACAGGTAAATACTATTAATTAATTGCAAACTATCACACGTTGATAATTAAAAATGTTAAAGTAAGTATTGTTGAATAATTAATAAATGAGATGTTAGTCGTTAATCATGTAATAACATAATGACTACATTGTAATTAGATGGAGTAATTAAAGTTATCAGTTAAGATGCAGTAATTGTAAATTATTAATGATTACTTGGTGCAATATGAGTAACAGACAACAGTAGCATTTGATATTTTGTTAAATGTAATAACTGTTTAGTAGCAAAGTATTCATCCTGGATCGATAATAATTAGTGTAAAGACAAAACCCAACTTCTGTAGATGTTATTTTTTTAAGACCAATTTTCTTAATTCTCCCTAGTCGTAATTGCTACTTATTACTAAGTTTAATGACATGCTTTTGAAACAAGTTTTACCATTTGAATGAACCATACATAAAACACAAGGAAAAACTTAAGAAATAAAAACTTAATAATGAATAACATAATATAATTTAAAAAAAAACAAAAAACTTAAATATAAATCTGTGATGTGATGAAAGATAATTCAAATTGTCTCAAAGCTTACTTAGTATTGTTTGGCAGAAATTGAAGGGTCTAAGCTCAACATTTACCATAAAATTTTAAACAAAATTTACAACATACAAACTATACCATACTGAGCCATCAATCAAACTTGTTTTTACAATTTCAACAGCAAATTGTTAAAATGCTGTAATCTTCAACAATTTCTTGTTAAATTTTTAGGTATTTAATTCAGTTTAACTCTAATTATGTATGAGAATAAAAACATTTTGAAATCGTAATGTTTTATATAGACCAATGACCCTTGATGGTATAGTAGGTATCAAATACAGCATCAATTTCTTTTTAGGGAGAATGTTAATACCTCCGATGAGATGAGTAGTTGCCGGTCACATGACCTGAGCCATCGCAGCCTGGTGTCGGACAGCTGTTCAAAATAAATAATTTAATGTTACAATAAGTAAAATGGAAATACCACTGGCCAATTTAATTTTTTAAATATCACATGTCGACGTGTAGAGACATCCATCAACATATGAACAATGTCCATCTGATAGTAAACAACTGTATACCACTCATTCTATTTTGAAATGTGCAATCTTTCTTATTATGTATGGTTGCCAGGTGAGAATGAGGCTTCAGACTCAGTTTTAAAATCGGATATTCAGTCAAAATGATAAAAGGCCAGATTACTGATACCCCTAAATTCGCCATGTGACATTGTTTGATACAGAGAGGTCTAGAGCAAGCAAAGTCATATTTTACTCTGTAATATCAGAGTGTGGAGTGTCTGTTACATGTAATCAGGACTAATAATACCAAGTGAATCTAAAAGCATAAAATCAACAAATTGATAGCTACTTAAGGTACCATAATGTACTTTACAACTGATAAATAGTTACAATAAAAAAAAGCATGACCTACAACATACAACTACTGAACAAAAAAAAAAACAAAAAAAAAAACACAAATCCCAACAATAAGGAAAAATCCCTATAAAGCTACATTTACACTAGATACGATAATGACACGACGACACGATAAAAATGCGCTCAGCCTTAAAGAAAATAAACGACGCGATGATATAACGTTGTCGTGTCTATTGTCAATGTAGCTTTACAGTACATAGCAGCTAATAGACCTTTCACCTAATCCCCGCCTCTTGGATTTATTGCTGAGGTCCCACAAAATGACAGTGTTAAAACATACGCAAACATGTGTGTTTGCGAGGCATCATACGTGCCACTTAGACACACAAGTATTGGTTAGCTGCTAAGTTTGATTGACACTCCGCAAATGTCTATTCAACAGGTCCTCCCCACATAATAGTTTATTGTCAGCCTACGATAGCAATCCCCAAGCACTACCCTGGATCAATAGTATACAAATACTACATGAATTCCTGAGGTGTTTTGGGTGATTTCCGACTACTTCCCGATGAAGCAGGGGCAGGTAGTCCCTACCAACCAACTCGTTACTTGTTACTTGTATAGCGCCTTTCTTTTCAGTTACGAGCGCTGTAAGCGACTCTCCACAACCAACCAACACTGAGGTAAGTTAAATTTCCTACTTTACTGAAATAAAACCATGTTGTATTTGTTATACTATATCTCATAAATATTAATTGGATAACATTGTACATTAAATCTCATTTTTCACATGGTCAGACATGCCACGGTAGGCTTTAAACAGTACTCTTTCCCCACGTCTGCATAAATATAAATATGCATGCACAGGGAAGTAAGAAAATATTGTACCGTATTACCTAATAAATATTTAGGAGGTATAGTAATTTATCACACTAGCCTAGGGTTTACTTTATCAACTTAAGTTGGGAGCCCTCAATCAATAATTATTTGAAAGAAATCCAGGTAGGAAACACTTCATATTATAGTACCAGGAAGATACCACCTGTATTACATGCAGTTAATGTAGAGAACTGGAAGGTACCAGTATACAGGATTCAAAAAATGTAGTAGACTGTAAAGGGTAGAGATCTCTAACCTCTCTTAAATATTATTTACAACAATCTGCAATAGGGAACCCCATATACTACCCTAGATGAATAGTTATTTATAGCATGGAGAAATAAGTTTAGCAACCTATGACAGGGTGCATAAAAAGTACCCTAGGTAGTTCAATAGTTATTTATCATAGAATGGAAGTAAAGTAATAACTGGGTTCAGTAGCTATTTATAGCAGTAGTGAAGGTTGTAAAGAATTCCAAACAATACCTGGCAGAGGGAGAGCCGCCCCTTTTGGAAGGTGAAGAAAAAAGAATAAAAAGAATGAAAGATATTATTGATCATCTAAACGCCTGAGAGGTTATTTTCGGGTGTCTTAGAAAACAAAAAAAATTGCGGGGGAATATCCTTAGACTCTCTAGGGTAGTGTTATTTCTCGATCGGTCCCCATTCGGGGCCCTCCTTTCAGACATCTCTGGATCCACTTCTGCTGGCAGCCCATGTAACCCTAGAAACCACTCTGTTTTAATAGCCTTGGATAGGGAACCTAAAAATTAAAAAAGCCAATAGTTACATAAAGCAGTATCCTAGGATAGAAAACCCTGAACCAATAGATAGTTTTTATCGTAGCCAATGATTAGGAATCCTAAACACTACCCTGGATCAATAGTTTATTTACAGCATGAAGGTTGCATGATAGGAAAACCCATATACTGCCTGGATCAATAGTTTATTTATAGCACAAAGGTGAGAAAGGAAACCCCAAGCACTACCCTTGACCAAAAATTAATCAAAGCCTAGAACAGGAAACCCTAAACACTATGCCTGCCTGACCACAATATGAAACAACAAATAAAAGCATGCAAGTACCTCACCAAGAAAACATGCATTATAATACTTATTAAAATAAAAAACAGTAACATAACCAAACAAGTTTTATATATAATTCATTAAAAGAGGTAATATGTAATATGCTAAATAAATAGGTACCAGTATAATAAAGAACATGAAAGATGAGATAAGAAATTGAATAAAATGAATTTAGATAAACTTAATTACAGTGTATTTTACTATTTACCGGTAATTATATTTCTTTTAAGAACAAATGGGGTCAAACATATACCCTATATCAAGTTTAATATACAATATAAATCACTTTGAATACCAAATATACAAACAAAATTATACAATAATCTATATTATAAAAAATAAACAGAACAGATAAACATACACAAAACTGAAATAATAAGAAACATGAAACTAATTAACCCACAACACCAAAAAAAAACAACCAGTATTAAACCAATTTATTTGAAAGGCATGCATATGAATAACTGAATAACTAAACAAGCAACGATCGATCACTATTGATGTGTAACACCAAAAACACAGAATCTCTACGGAAACGTAGCCTACCTTAGATGTTCCCGTTTTTGTGGGTCATTAAATGAATGTTTAGGGAAAGTCTGCGGTTGATAAAGGGAGTACTTGTGCGATGCAGCATAACTGAATGTTCCAATGGCAGCCAGAGGAAAAGTCAATGAGTGCAAGATGGTATTAGTAAACAAATACAATGTGATTAATATCACAGTTTGTTGCTATGTTAACAGATAACCTGGATTCACTGCTAAATGTTCTACCAAAAGTTGATCTAACATAAATGTTAGTGTACCAGGTATTCAAAAGAAAACTGTCCTTTCTCTTGCAAGCAGTGAAGAGTAAAATATGAAAATTCTAAAAACCTCAACCAAACACCATCCACTTTATACCACTCTTAGAAAATATATTTGTCCATGTGCAAATATATTAAACATATTTAACCGAATGAGATGCATACCATTTTAAAGCAAACTTACTTACATTATGGTTTGAATTTGTTTTTAGTATTGTTATGTAAAAAAGCATGCTTACCAAAAGGTATATTTGCATTCACTTAATATGTGTTATTTATATTATGTTATTAATAACAAATGGTGTGTGGTAATAGTTTTTGTATTGTGTATTAATGATCAGTGATGATATGCATTAATAGATGGTAATGATGTTAATGTTAACATGAAATTGTTAAATATATATGATTAGATAGTAAAATATACATTTAAATAATTTACAATTCCATCATCATCATTAGAAATCATGTCAATTGGATTATATGAAATACACACATTTTACTAATTGACTAATAATCATAAATCTTGTATGTTTGACTATGGGTCTGTTCATGCGTTTGTCAGTAGGGTATGTACTGTACAGTTGTCTTCTTACCTTTCCTCGTTACTCTGTGATGGTGGCGGGTACCATGTTTGTGTTACAGGTTGATTCTGGTTCTGTGGTGGCTGTTCGACGTGATTTGGTGTGTGATCATATGTTCTTGGAATGGTCAGAAGCGTTGGTGGGCTGGAGTAGGTTGGTTGTTGGGGACTATTCACCATCGGGGGTAACGACCTGGATGGCTCGGAATGTTTGACAGTGGACGTGGTTCTCATACTCAGATCCAGGGTGCCATTTGAATCAACCTTCATTACTTCGAGAGATGTCGGTTTAGGGGTTGAAAGCTGATGATGAGGTTGGGCCGGAGGTTGCTGCTGCTGTTGCTGCTGAGGAGGCTGCTGCGTTTGCTGTGGCTGGTGATGGATAATAGGTGATGGTACGGAAACAATAGGCTGCGTTGAAACCTGTGAAGGAGATGAAGTTGCCGAGCTGGTGTACATCGAGTCCATGCGAGGCGCACGAATTGACAGATTGATGGCAGATGCTGCGAGATGTGCAGCGGATGAATTAATCAAATTATCAACTTTGCTCTTCTCGTAGTCACTTGGTAGAGGTAAACGTTTGGCTGGTACATCTGGACTGATGATTTTTGGTGCTATACGTTTGTGCGCTGTACTCTGGAATGTATGGCTAGGCCCATCATACAAATACTCTAGGTTGCTTCGCTGTAGCAAGGGAACATATCCCTGGGATGGCACATCTTGCTTCACAAAACACATTCCGGTTGGTCTAAAAAGCATAGAAAAAACAGACTAAAGTTACTTCCGTTATAGGTTACAGATTTTAAGCAATTTGGGGCTGTTCTTGGTGCAACACACACTATATAAGTCAAAATAATTTATTTCTTTATTATCTCTTAGGTACATTAAATGTTTTTAAGGTGACAGAAATTCTTTACTATTACCTATTAGCATGTGCTCGGCTCTGGGCAAGCGCTTGGGCTGCCGTCAACCCACAATCTCGAGAACTCTTATTTGTCTTCTCAGCAGCTGCAATGGGACAACCAGACAAACTGGAAAAAAACCAAGAAATCAAAGAATATTAACAAAAATAATTATGTGTACACTAACAATAGGAAAACTAAAACTAATGAAGGCTCCAAAACAAAATAATAATGATAAATAATATTGACTGTCATTTTAACCAGAACCCTGCGGGTGAGTACGTTCCTTTGTACGTAAAAAATCAATATACATTTGTGAATTGCAATAACTTCTTGTATCTTTTTGAATAATGATTGTGTAAGGTAATACAGTATTTTCTTTTTCAGTCAAAAAAATCAGAGGTGGCTAGCCTACCGTAAAGAACTTCCAATTTTGTTGTAAGTTTAAATGTCATTTTCTCGTGTTTTGCTAAAGTTCTTACTGTCAAACTTTTTTTAATGCTTTTAAATATTATTTAAGTTATTTTCATCAGAAGTTAAAGTATTATAAGAAATAAGAACGGGATTGAACGATAGGAATTTTACTCTGGCCCGGTTGTATACAAATCTAAAGGTCAACTTTTGACATGGGCCTTGTTACATGTGATTAATTACACCTGGGCATTGTGTAATTGAAATATCCAACATCTTTTGGGACAGATGTTTTTCGAATTTTTTATGGCTAGAGGCAAAAGTTAATTGCCACACGCGACCTCTCAGTTGGAAGTACCCGGTAAAACGTTACTCGTCCGAACGGGCCCTGTGACTATTGCAAATCCCAGAACCAAAGCTGACAGTTTTGGAACCATTAGTTGACATCCCTATTTACAAAATGTTGACAATGCCAGGTTCGTCCGTCCGTCTATCACATGCCTTCATCACTAATGTTTTGATGAAGTCTCCCCCACCCACCCTCAGGTTCGTCCGTCCGTCTATCACATGCCTCTATCACATGCTGTATATGTGCATAGACGGTCAGTCCATCACATGCTGTAAATTTATGTGTCCATAATTTTAAGGTTCTCCCCCACCTGGGACTGTCCATCAGATGCTGTATTTTCTAACCATTATTTTCCCAAACGTCCTTTATTGAAGCTATGCTGTAAATTTATGTGTCCATAATTTTAAGGTTCTCCCCCACCCGGGACTGTCCATCAGATGCTGTATTTTCTGACCATTATTTTCCCACCATTATTTTCCCAAACATCATTTGATGAACTCTCGTCCCCCCGCCAACCCTTAGGTTCGTCCGTCCATCACATGCTGCCTCCGCCAACCCTAGGTTCGTCCGTCCATCACATGCTACATATTTATGTGTCCAGAATTTTTAACCATCATTTCTTGGAAAATAATTCCACAAATGTTGATTTTTATTGCTTGATGGTAGGCTGGTGGTAGGCCAAGAAACCTACTTTACGTAACGGTATAGTATATCAGATGTGTCTAGGCCTACATCAGGTCCGACGGTGTCGCCCAAAGAGAAGCCTACATTACGTATGTGTCTAAGCCTAGGTACACCAGGTCCGTCAATCTTAGCCGTTAAAGTATACTAAAACACTAATAGAACACATAGAACACCTTCAAGTAATAGCACAGGTAAGTGGCCGATATGTAACAACTATCTCAGCTTGCTCAATGTTTACTGACAGTCGCGAAAACAACATAAAGAACTTTTCTAGGCAGCTCGCGACAGAAACAAAATGTCGAGAAAGTTTGACCCGACGCATGCGCAAATCAAATTTTCGACTAAAAAACGACTCAAAACTGGTGGTAGGGGGTATATGTTTTATCGCCTACAGCTTACATTTTTCATCTAACCGAAAAAACAAACATTTCTTGCACAATTGCATGTCCACAAGCAACTATCGAGCACAATGTATACCTGCCACAATGCACCTTTCGGAGCCTATTTGTTTACAAATATGCTGACCTCTTGCACATCTCATACACACATTTTACATGTGAACCATTACATTAGTTCCATGTGACTTAAGGTCACAAAGGAACTAATAATAAAAATAATTAGAGTTTGGGAATTTAATTACATTTGTAAATATTTAGAGAAGAAACATTATGTTTATCTTATTTATACGAAAGAGTGTATTTTTTCTGTTCACTTTCATGTTTTAATGTTGCTTTTGCTATCTTTGAAGAGGGGCGACAGTGACGGACTCCTAAGTGTTTCTATGTCATCCTTTGACCATTGTCTATGTATACTGTAAATTTGATTTGTTTTATTTCCACGCATGTATATAAATGGTTGAATAAATGTTGAATAAATGAAAAATTATGCTATCTAAGCTGAAAAATGAACAAAATATGTAAATACATTAACAATCATATCAAAAACATAACAAATGTCAAGTTAATGAATTACATTGAAAAGATCATCTAAATGCTTGACATACACATAACAGATGCAAGATGATACAAAAATGAAACTAATCCTACATTAATGTGGCTTTACGTTGCCAATTCTTGAAATATACTCTATACAATGCTAAAAGAAAATCACAGTGCTATATATCCTGATTGTATATGCTCCCACCCAAGGTATATTTTTATTTAAACTTAAATAATAAAACAAAATTTACCTTCTGTGAGAATTCCTGTTGCTATTCACATGTCCTTTTCCAGTGCACCCAGGTGTGGGGCATCTAAAAATGAAATTATAAATTTATTACATAATATCAATTAACAAAATTATAAGCAATAAAACACACTTAATGTTCCTTTATTTGTCCCTATCCCAACATATTTAGTAATAGGGAACAAACTTGAAAGACAAACCTGTGGCATCTTCAACTCAATTGCATTACACACTCTTTACACCTGTAATTTTCCCATATGAGTGTGATATATCAATACATCATGCCCATATTCTGGGCAAATACCATATATTTTACAAATGAAAATTGATTATGTCATAGTTACCAACCTGAGAGACCACAGGGGTCCAGGGGTGAAACCCCAGGGACGGTCGGGTTCGAGTCACATAATCAACAGTTGGTTCTAACAATGAACGCGCAAGATCACATGCGCCTTCTAGATTCTACTAATTGCATGATTGGCTGAGTTATTTTGATCAAAAAATAGAAATATTATAATATTCTCTGTGAATTGATTCTAGAACGAGATAACGAAAGCTCTCTAATGACTCAAGTTACTGCATGACCATTTATATTTCTAATAAACCCAATTTCTTCTAATTTTAAAAACATCTTCCCCTGAATTCATAATTCGTTATCAGGCATAGACTTGTGCTAAATGCGTGACAAATTTATGATCAGGCATCTGTTCCTGCAAAATGTGTGTTTCATCCAAAATAACTTTGAAATGCGGGACCGTCCCGCACGATGCGAGACGGTTGGTAACTATGTTGAGTGGACAGAGCTAAAAGAGGATCATTGGTAAAATAATAAAAAAAAATAGCAAAGAACATGTTTAGTAAGATGCACAACGTCCGTCAGCCTAGCTTCTTACAATATACACCTCTAACGAGCACTCAACATAACGAGCTGTCACATCCACACCTGGACACTCTGAATAACCTCATTAGGTTTCACTTTGTCATTTACTGTTCCCATGTCAAAGTGAACATAGAATAGCAACTACACCTGAGTGTTAAACATTTGTCATTGAATAATACATAACATTGTTCAGTTGCTGACATAATAGAATCAACATGAAAAAAAATCTGTATTTTTTTTTTAGATGACCTAATTACAAAATTCTAAACCAAATGTTTGATATCTAATCTACAATCATTCAGTGAAGTGAAACATAGGATTAGTGTGCATTTTTTAAATGAGGGATCATTCAAATATATAACATTAAAAACAAATCATATGACAACAATATTTCAAAGGCAGTCCATATCTCAGATAGCTGGCGCAGATCTAGAGCTTAACCTGACTATCACACATATAGGTCAAACGGGGTGGATCCACCGGGGTGGGGGTCCACATGGGTAAATCTCCCTAACGCTTTTTTGATTCCATGGTTTTGAAAGTCTGGATCCGCATCTGGATAGCGTCTGCTTTAGGAAACAATAACCAAAAAACCTATTCTTTACCCATTCAAAACTAATTACCAGAGGCTTTGCCTGAAGAGAGAGTAAGGAATATAACTAATATTTGAATATCAATGAGAAAAAAATATTTGTTAATTTGTTAACCCTAATCAAAGTTGTCTTAAAGATTTCTGTTCACTTTCTCATTTTGTAACTTTATTGAATAATGTAATCCAAGAACATTTAATTAATACAAAGTTTCAAGAACATATTTGCATAGAATGTCTCAAGTGGGACTTCTTGTGCATACATCTAAAATTGGCTTAGTTTGTGTTCTATTTAATTCCTATTGAATTGTGTGATATTAGAGCTGAATAAACAGGTGGTAGGATAATGCAATGTGCTGATTGGTTGTTTGTGGGTAGTTATTATGTAAATGACAAAACAAAACTACATTGAGTATCTTCAATATTAAAAATAATGAATTATAGTTTTCTATTTACAGTTGCATTTATTAATGTCTGTATACTATATTTAATTTATAGAATGAATATCTGATTGACTAATTTTTGTGACTTATTGCTTGATGATGATGAATGTCTGAGTTGAATTTTAGCAGCAAATTTTTCACAAACACAGTATAATTCAAGTGAAAAATTATTCATCATTAGCCAGAAACTCCATTCTCTTGGAAGGAAACAAAAAAACTTGGGGAGAAAATAAAAAGAATGATAGCAAGTCATTGAATTTTCCAAGGAGATCCCATGAACAAAGTTGTTTATGATCAGTTCAGGTTAAATATAAGATAGTTTGAACTTTTGCAGATGGTCCCTGAGGCTTGCTGCCAACAATCACAAGCTCACATTTACAAAAGGCTTTTATTTTATTGATTTTAATTGACGAATATTCATTCATTCATCCTCGGAATACATTTTTATTTCTTTCCAATTTTTCTGGTAGACCCATTACGTTATGACCATAATCTTGCTGTAAATGAGAAATTATCCAATTACTATTTACGCTTTTATAGCGAATACGGCTCTAATGAAAAAACTGGGTTTTTTTTGCATACTCACTAAATATCACAATATAAAATGTTTGTCTAAAATGGAAGTTACGATTGACACTGACTATTGATTAACTACATCTCTCGCCAGAAACTTGGTTATGAATGGTTTATCATCGCTATCAAAATTATAAATTATTTTTGAGGCAAAAAAAAAACAAAACAAAACATAGGAACTTTGCTAAGTTTTTGTCGCAACAACCCTAATGAAATATTCATCCTGTTCAGGGGTCCAATAATTATCAATCAATTTCATATTGGATATTTTCGCCTAATTCGATGCTTTAGAAATCTTGGCCAGTAAGAGGTTTGAGTAGTGACAATAAAGTGTGAAAGTGTGGTGAAAGAAGTTTGTGAACTAGAAGATGATTAACAGGCAGACAAATGGTTTCAAAATGGAGGCACTTCAAGGCTTGATGACTTGACAAACTATAGCCTAGTGATTTGAAAGCTTTGTTGCAACTTGCATTACTGTCTTTGTTTCACTTAACCTGGGTAAACAGACTACACTATCATACACTTATCATAGACATAACAGTTTTTAGTTGGAAGCCAAAATGGAAGTTTATTTTTGCCATCATATTTTTGCCGGTACAATTTTAACATTTGTTTATTTTCATATTTTAATGCATACAATACAGAATACTGTATACACCCTGTTGATTGAAGATACAATTGATTGTTAAATATTTTAAACATAAACATCAAGTAAAAAAGTTCCTAGACTTAAATTTTCACATTTAAATTTGAACAATAGTAATAATATTTAAAGAACAAGTTATATTTCAATCCATAAAAACAATACAAATATTGTAATAAAAACAATAATTATAAAAAAAATTATTCATATTTTTATAGGCTCAACTTCCTATTTATTAAATATATGATACTAGTGGGTCTAAAATAAGAGTATGTATATAAAATTAAACTGACATCAGAATATAAAATATTTAGCATAATAAATTAATATTAAAAAAAAACATTTTATTTTTTTTTTAAATATCTATATTAAATTTCAATGAATTTCTACTTAAGGGAAGTCATCCATGTCCTGATGGCAAATCAATACACTTTCTGAATGATTAAAAGATTTGACAATTGATCAATCAAATTAATTGTCTGATATTAATAATTTAAATAATTAATTGATTAATAAAAAGGAGAAACCATATACATTTTTTCAAGGTAATTTCTCTTCAAACCCAAAAACTTCACTTAACCTGTCATATTCTAATAGTACTCACTTTTAAAGGTCAAATCAATATTTCTGATGAATAATTGCTCATAGAGTATCTTTTAAAAGTACACTTTTTATGTTTAAATTTAAATGTTTTGCTTGCCATATTCTTTAAATTTAAATGTTGAGTTCCAAAAAGATAATTGTTTTTAAAAGAATACTTTCAATTAGAAAATAAGAACAGTATGTTTTTGATAATAATTTAATAGTTCCCTTCTTCTAAAATTTGATTTAAAAAAAATATCTTTTTCTATCTAAAATGGAATAATAAAATTTCAGTTAGAAGTAATACAGTGAAGTATATCAACTAGAAGTGAAAAAAAGCATTAGAAAATGCCGTGGTAACCAAACCCAAGGATCGCAAATGCACTTATAAATTGATTATAATAAAGATGAACCACAGGGAGAGAAATAAAGTAATCAATATTACATGCAGACAAGGACATAGTAAGCACATAAAAACAATGACTCGCTGTCAGCTTTTCATAAAATTATACTCAACAAAAATATAATATTCTAAACAAAGTCCAGAATACACTTTCCATCTTCATGGAATATCAAACTAAGCAATCAGGGACCAGCTTATCAATTGTGATATTAAAGAAATCTGGTCAAATTTTGCTTTGCAACCATTCATATTATTGCTCAGGGAATTGTGGGTAATATTTTGATCTAAAACCTAACAGACCAAAGCAATTACTTCTTCTACCCCAGTACTCAATGAATAAGTGTATCTATTCTTTAGTGTAATATTATGAGAGCTTTTTTACAGAAATATCTCAAAGAACATACAGCAGGATTAATATTTGAAATTAATACTACTGTGTTAACATTGTACGACCGCGGCCAATGGCGGGAGGTTGTCAGGACTTCATCAGTGAGGCCTCAACAACCCCAGCCAAGGATACAGAATTGAATGAATATTACATTTCTAAAATGATTATTATATAAATAAAAAGAATAGTTTTAAACATCATATTAGAAAGAAAAGCCTTTAAAGATACACTGTCTTTGACCAGAATAAACTTTAAAAATATAATTAAATATTTCAGTTGCTTACTTTGTGTAACTGAGAGTGTTACTAGCTTAATAATACCATTAAAAATTAAATTGTTTTGATGCTATTTTTTTTTTCAAAGTTTATCGTGTGCAGACAGTATAACTTTAATAAAGTTAAAATGTTAATTGAACAAGTGTATGCTTACTTTAATACTTGGTCGTGGATCTGAAGTACTGCAAATTGTGAAAGCAAAACAGAGAAAGAGGAAAAACCAACAAACACAATTAGGTTAGGAATTAAATATTTATAATTAAACATGAAAATAAAAATATAAATTATAGATAACAATGTATATTATATAGAATACCATTTATATTAAGCAATGAACATACATTATGCAAGGTTGTGAATATCAATTTAGTAACACATAATTCAAAATTAAAAAGGAAAACAATATAAAACTAAATTATAATTATTTAAAAATATCATCTTTATTAAAAACAAAAACATATTTTTATTACCTACATTAATTCAACTGTTGCTGATGATGCACATTTACTTATTAATATATATCAAAGGACAGAAAAAAAAAACTAGAGACCTAAATGTTATAAACAGAAAATATTCACTTTTAGAACAGGTAGATTTTCCCTTTGTTTACAATACTAGTTACAATTAACTTTAATTTCCACAGTAAGAGCACAGTGATGAAAAAAAAAAATGTCCAAAAGCATAGATATGTAATACTGAAACACACCAAACTTTCACTTTGATCAAAAACAAAATATTAAACTTTCTCAGTTCTCAGAGCCAAATGGCTACTTCTATAATATATATTATAGAAGTATAAGTTCAAGAACGTGACAGAGTGGGTGACAGAGTAGCCATGGATGGATGACCCTCTAAGATCTTGCGCTTGTTTTGCCTGTTCTCTGTAGTTAAGTTGATAATATGTATTTAAGTATTTAAAAAATAAATAAAATAAATAAATTAATAAATAAAAAGAAAATTTATATAAAATGAATTAACCTTTATAAATATAATAAATGAAATGCAGAAAAGGCTGTTTCTCTTTGCAAGTGGAAATAGGGCCGCGAGCAGCTCTCTGAGATGGATACGTGCACCTTACAAGAAGCCATTATTATTATTATTATATGATTGTCATGTGATGCGTCATGTAACAGTGTCAACAAACTGATGGATTGGATAACCATACAATGCGAGAATTTAGTTCACCCTCAACCAGCTGGTGCACTACATCATCTTGTTTTTTTTTTCTTTCATTAATTAGAGTAACCCACTATCTAATTCTACTAAGATAATTAATTTTGCAAAGTTTATTGAATGTAATCATTATGGGAGTGTTCATTCTAAAGGCAAATATCAGCACACGCATAAGAAAATATTGCAAATATGGTGGCCAAATATCATCTCAATGGAAGAAATAACGGGGATAACCAATATTTCCAAGATCAGTCCTATGTGTGTGTGTTTACAAAAAATTAATCGTAATTCACTGTTTTTGCACTATAGCTATACCTCTAAATTTGTTTAATAGGGTTTTTGAAAAAATCCTGGCCAAACTAAACTTCTGTGGTACCAAATTTCCTCTTTCACAGTACCAAAGAAATAAGAATTTGAAAAAAAATGAGTACCAGGAATTAAAGAAAGAAAGAGTCTATAACAGGAAAACCAAGAGAAATTGGGAAAGCAATTGAAACTGATGGAAGAAGAAAGAAGTAATGAGTAACTAATAGTTAAAATACAGGAGCAACAGAAAGAATAACAGCAAGAGAGATTTCAATTGTTATTAAAATTCTGTAAATTTCTGCAGGCTCTAGCCTGGGGTTAATGATGAATTGCTAACATTTCCTAACCATTTTCAAGCATATTTACAGTAACATAGCATACATCAATATATTAATTACTGTTGTTAAGTGGGATCGTATATAGAACAATGGCAGAACAGCAGTTTGTAATCACTACTACATTATTTTATGCTGATTTAATTTACGTTCTCATTGGCATCAGAGAGCCAATAGACAGTGATAGGTTCACATTTTGGCAATCCTGTCCGGCCAACTGAGTGTTATTTTTTCCTCACTCTGTAATTTTGTGATTTTGTGTTTGTCAGTTTTAATGTTCTTTGGACCAAATAAATGAAATGAAATAAAAAAATAGACAGATCTAGATTTTTGAAACAAGGAGAACAGGGAAAGGGGAGCACACAAAGAGTTGCAGTTCTGAAAGATTAATTTTCTGCAATTCAGTGCATTGGATCTCTTAAGATATGAAATGTATTATAAAGTATTATTACTTTTATTATTTACTCTCATTTTTTACAGAATAAATGGGATATTTTCCTTTCATTATTACTATTATTCATTTATTCTGTTGTCATTAAAATGCAGAGTGCAAATTGTAGAAAAGATAAGAGCTTCTTGGAGGGTTGTGTTGACATTAAGGCCATTGTGTTTATATAATATGCCACATATTCATTTAAATAAATTTAATACCTAAATTTTAATAAAGTTATTAAATCAAGAAAAAGAGTAAATATGAATTATTACCAGCAACAGTTGAACAAATATTAGTTCAGTTCCTCATAGAACACTGTAAATTTAACAAAACTCAACTAAGTGTAAAAAACACAACATAAAATGAATATCAATATTTTGTTTTATACTTACATTTTTGAGGAATCTTGTCCTTATGTGGGCAACCAGATAAACTAGTAAATGACAAAAAATTTATTTATTTTTTCTCCTTAGAAAAGTATATTGGGTTCCATGATTGCACTATAAACTGTAAGTGTGAATTTATGATTTTTATTTCAACTATGTTTTCAGAGTGTGTCCCATCCAGAAAATAAATTTGACTACATAAAACTAACCTACAGAGTTGATTAAATTATTAGCTTTTTGATTATAAAGACATGATGTAATGACTAACCCAAGATAATTGCTTTTTATGAAAGAAAATGAGATTAAAGTAAAATATTAAAATATGATAAAATATTAATTAAAAAAAACATAATGTGAAGTACTGTACAACTGTATTACATCAGGTGTGCTCATCTTAAAAAGGGAGAATAGGAATGTGGAGATGACTGCACTAGCGAGTTACCAATAAATTATTCTGGTGTATGCTTAAATATGTAGAGCTGTACTCATATCCAAACAGGATTGCACATACACACTCCAAACATTTTATACTAAAAGTTCTTAGTGGAGTAGGTTCATAACTTAGTTGTTACGATGCTTGCCCTCGTACCACACAATAATAAAAATAAAAATGATTTGTTCTCACTTCTGAAACCAACGCCACTCCCTAAGCCTCATAATGAGACCTCCCAAGGTTTATTCAATCCTGGCTCGAATTTGCATGCAAATTAATTTTCAATAATAGCAATATTATACTATAACGACGAAGCCGCGACACTTTTGAGAATTATAAAATAACCTATTTAAAGATAAAGCATAGTGTGCTGTCTATGTTGAATAAACTTCCAACAATAAATTTAATTGAATTTCTTGCTTATATCTAAGTTATTAACATTCAATTGGAAATTAGGGAAAGAGAAAATATTTTTTTTGCCAACTTGGATGCATAAATATTACCACTCATATAATTATTCTTTAACATATAAATTTGAAATGGCTGTGATTAAGTTATGGATTTTCATATTAAAGTCTTTAAATCACTAATTTTTCTGTTTCCAATTGGAAATTGATAACTAGTCTAATAAGTACTTTCAAATAAGTAACTCCAATATATTAATCAAAATTTCTTTAAAAAGTCCCAAATGGTATTACAGAATTTAAGATAAGTTATTTATCTTTAAATCAGCAAAAGCTAATTTTACTCTCATTAGAAATTGATAACTAGTTTAATCAGGACTTTCAAATAAGCAATCCAATGTATTAATCAAAATAATAATTTAAAAAAAAACACACACTTTTGCCCCAAATTTATTACTGAATTTAATAACACAATTTTGTAATTTTTAAGAATATTTTTTCTAACAAAAGTATTATTGATGACATTTAAAGATAGAAAGATCAATCTAATAAATATAGACAATCATATATTTAGACTTGAATACTTAAATAGGATATTCGCCTATATATGTATGTACCTCCTGTGAAATTCAATTAACATTATTTATTATTACATGATTGCTTTCTTGATCTGCCCAATGGCTCATATAATCATATGTAGCATGTGAATCAACGATCTAGGCAAAGAGACAGTATAACTGAGATTAAACCAACACAACCCAGGCTGATTGAAACACTGCAACCCGCTTCGAGGGGATTATTCATGACTTCTGAGCGGTTGTTTTTACACGTTTTACGCGAGTTCCGTTCCGCTACCACAGCAACTAGGGAATATGGTAATAACATGAGAAGCTCTTTGGTTTATCTTGGCAATGTTGGCACAAGTTGTGTGTGCACTCATGTGGAAATGCTTATGGGATTGGGAGTACATAATTAGGTAGTTCAAGAATTAGAGCTAGGCCTACAATATTTACTGAATAACAGAAGTGAAATTAGAAAAAGTAATACTAAATTAAGTATACTATACTGCAATGTAATTGTAAGTCCTCAACCAGTGTGCAAATACTTTAATTTTGTCTTACAACTCAGGTTGAACATCGGAGTGATAATGTCACTTGTACAACACATACTACAGTGTACTAAGTTTCTATGTTAGTCTTTTTAGGATATTTGATTTAATTTTTGATGGATATTTTGAGATGTTTCTAAATACAAGTAATATTTTTATTATTATTGTTAATTAACAGGGAACGAATGATGTTAGGAAACTGAATAGGTAAATTAAAATAAATTTGTACCAAGGCAGATTTTGAGGTTTTAATATTAATACTACAAGTTGTTTAAAAAGAGCCTACCTCCTATGATGATGGTACAGTCCAGTCACATGACCTGAACCATCACAACCTGGTGTTGGACACTTGCTTCCTTCCATGTTCAACATTTCTATAGAAAAAGAAGTACTTCTGTCAAATTACTTGTAATTTACCAGCCATGGTAGTTGTAAATAACTTGGTAAAAAAAAATGCAGAATATATATTAATAAATAAAATTGATATCTCAGAATATCTAGTAATTGGGTCCGCAGAGAAAGGCCACAGAATCTAACTGTACGTTGAGCAGTATATATTGGCCTCATGGTAAAATGGTGGGGGGGGGGGGAGAAATATAAAAGAGGTGGAAAAATGACCTGGGACAATGTTTAGTCTGAACTAGTTGGTAGTTTGGCATTTTTACAATGTACGATTAATTATTAGTTATTTATGGTTATGGTTTTTTGGTTTTTTTAAAAATTTATTATGTATAGTAAATGTAAAATATTTTTACTCTGTTAATATATCCAAATTTAGCTATGAATTCCATGAATATCAATCTCCATGATGAAATACATAATAGAAATTTTGAGATAGCAGATGATGACAATATCAACAAACAGCTGATGACAATAATAACAAGTAGATGACAAAAAGTATATAAGTTCACTTGTTAATGGTATGCGTGTAAACCAAAAAATCAATTAATAAGCCAATGTATGGCACCATCATAACTTTAATACCTTAGCGAGCGAATTACTTTATTGAAAAGAAACTTATTTACATAAAATCCAGGTGCGAAATTTAATAGGATCCTAACTACCAGTAAAATATCATTCTAATAATATTGATTAACAAGTTGTGAATAACATGAAACCTTTGTTAGTTATCAAAGTACGCCAAACAGAATATCATATTACAAATATTACATTTATTAATATGTACATTAAGGTTCAAGCTACTGTTTTGGAGGGATTGGTTATCACGCCACTACCATCTCTATCGTCACAGACAAATCATTTCCAGCACTGTCATTATTCTCATCAACATTCATGCTGTCAACACCATCACAATCACGAACATGTTTGACACTATATTATTATTACCACTATATCAGAGTTAACATCATCACCAGGTTAATCTATTTATTATCTTTTTTTATTTTCATGTTCTAAATTTAAACCTATTTTCACCTTTCAACCACAAAAGCAACATTTGGTTTTTCCCTTTATGTGATCATAACTAAATATTGTCTTTATATCCATTTTTCAATGGATATATAGACTTAGATATGTTGAGGAATTTTCCCTTTTTTAAATCATCAACCAATTTTTTTTTCATATTTTTTACAACATTAAATTTTGTCTTTTTTCCCCTTCTCACCATCATTGACAATTTTAGACTTTTTAAATTTCTTTCACAGCTGAATTTTCACTACCTGTATTAAATAATTTTGTTTTTTATGTGATAAATAATTAATTTGATTGCACACTTTGTCCTGACAACTTAATTCTTAGTCATAATTCATCATGAAATTCTTTACCCCATTAAACATTCATTAATACCTTCTCAAACAAAAGAAATAAGGTAGTTCTATTACATCATCAATAAATAATAAAACAATAATAAAATAATCTTCACTATGAATAAATCCATCACAATAAACATTAGAACAATTGCACTATAATGAGGTGTTCTGTTGAAAACTGTTGCCTCTAATGCATTGTAATGATCTGGAAGAGTTCATATTATATTACAGGGATGTTTCTTTTAGTAACATTTGCAGAAATTTGAAACAGGTAGAAATTTAAAAATAAAGAAGTCAAGTGTGATCTGTACAAAGAGAGTGTTCTATCCAGTGAAGCTCTAATCATTTGGTACACTCAATTTTCTATAAAGTAACATCTCGTTATGAGACTTGAGGGGTTGAGTTGTCTTAGGGGTTTGACTTGAAAGGGATATAAAAACGGTCGAAATATAATGGTATTAAAAATCAAGCATCTACCTCCAGGCTACCCCTTCCTCTAATGTTACAAAAATAAATGTACATATTAAACCTTTCAATTAACAAGGCCTGTCTAAGCACAAGAAATTGACATTTTAATATCATCATTTAAACCTAAGTGTCTTTTTATTACACTGGTGACAAATTGCACCTGAACATTATATCACAAAAGTTTAGAATTATTAGCAAAGAATGTCAAATTTCTATGTGCAGATGGTATGCATACTCAGTAATGCTAAGTGCGTGCATGCTAGCTAATTTCGAGCGGCATTCACCAACGGAGATGATTTCTTTGAAGTTTGATCGAAAACAGTATGATTTACAACAAGTCAAGAAGGTTAATTACAATATCATAATTTTTTGAATAGCAAATGTTTTGTTGAAGAGATAACTATTCAAAATAAATGCTGTTAGAGCAAACATAACCATTTTTCCTCTTTTCAATTGGTATTTGAACAATTTTAGTATGCAAATTTGAAGGAGTTGATTAGTTATTATTATTATCATAATGATACAAGTATATTATTACACAGTGTCTTATTTTCTTGTTCTAATTTGTTCCTTAAACACTACATAATGACTTATAATATTATTACATTCAACATATTTCATTAATAATTTAATTCTAAATAGATTATTTGGATTCACATACACTGATTTTTAAATAACATACATAGTATATGCATCAAATTCTCTTTTCATACTGTGATGAAAAGAATAAACAGGTAGAAACAGAGAAAAAGAAACATGTTTGCAGAACATTATACTCTTATCATATGCTCTTATCAATAAAACTGATTCTACCAATTACCTATGAAGAAGTGAGAGATGGAAGGCAATGATTAGTTGTGGTAGATGTATCTTTTGATACAAAAACATGGTTATTATAATTTGAACATATTTTTCTCATCATCCACTTTTTAAAAATACACTGCCACTTCATAACATAAATGCACTATATCATGTCAACTGCCAGACTTGTTTATAATGATGTGGTTTGAGGATGTGTAGTATCTTGAATAATGTATTTTAGTCTATTTTGTAGGTATAGGCTTAGTGATGTTAATTCAATCAGTTTAATTGATGTTTAATGATGTGTATATAATAGTGAGTATGTATGTAACAGTGTGATCAATAAATTTATGTGCAGGGTTGAATCTTGAATGCGTATGCTTATAGAAAATGGAGGATGACTTACCAATAGCCTGTGCTAATGTGGTTGGTTTTTCTCTCTCTTGAAGGCCTGACGATGATGGTCTTACGGTTGGAACCTTGATTACATCATCCGCTCCAGAAGTGCCCTCCACCTCTTGATCAACACTAAGAACAGCATCAGAATTTGGTGTTTCAGCACCGTCTTCGTCTATGGAATCGGCTTTGCCATTCACCAGCGCAGGACCATCTTTCATCTCGATCTTCAACTGTCGAACAATGTGCTCTTCCTCGGTTTCATCTGGTAATCTCTCAATATCTTCATCTTCATTCTCCTGCTCATCTTCCACATCTTCGGCAATCATCAGTGGTTTGATGTCCTTGCCTTGGTTTAAGGCATCTATGTTTTCCTGGATGGCCTGTAATGAACTCCTTGGTTCAAGTGTCTCCTGTGATTCGGACCCAGACTCTTCATCATCGGCATGGTCATACTGGACTATTGCAATGTCGAGCTCTTTCTTGATTGGTACTTCATCAATAACAAGATTACAAGATTGTTCCAAGTCTTCCTCATTATCTATGGAACCTTTGTTCAGAGTATCACTCTGCTCCTCTTTTTCTTTCTTTTCTTTTAATTCCTCTGACAATTGTTCACTCATTTGTCGTAAGTAATTTGGAACACTAATTGCTTCTTCTTGTTTACCAACATTTTCCTCCTTTATTCCTTCCACATTTTCTTCAGTCATGTCCTCATCAATGACCATTTCACCGGGTTCTTCCTCTTCAAAATCTCCCACCTGCTGTTCAACCTCATCTTCCGAAGGAGGCGCTTCTACCAAAAGAGCTCCAACATCTTCAGCATCTTCCTCTAAATCCCTGACATCATCAAGGTCTTTACTCTCAAATTCTTCAGCATCCTCTGCCACCATAAAACCAGTTTCCTGCAAATTCATTTCAGGTTCTTCCATTAGAAGCACAGGTTCCTGGTTTTCCTCAACAGTTTCTAAAACATTTGTATTTGTTTCCTCTCCATCTAAAATGTCCAGCTCCTTCTGAAGTTGCGGTGGTCCAGGGGGACGGTCCTGATTCTCAACAACTTCTTCGACAGCATCTAGTTGGGGTAAATCCTCATCAACTTGTTCAACACATAAATCTTTAATTTCACTGGGTTCATTTATATCAACTTCTTTTGTGGAAAGTTCATCAGTTCCGTTTATCTTTGTAAAATCTGGGTTCTCACCTGCTTTTAGGTCGTCATTGTTACTGTCCGATTTTCCCTGATCAATTTCCGCAGTAACATTATCAATAATTCTCTGAAGATTCACTATCGCTTGTTGACTACACTTAGTCTGAGCATCCTCATCTTGTGAAGATGTGGAATTTGTTTCCTCTGTTTCTACACTGTTTACAAGAGAGCCGTTGTCATCCTCGGTGTCATCTTCATCCCGTACATTACCTTTCCTTCGTGGTGTACGTTTTGTTTTCTTGGCTGGTTCTAATGATGCTGTATCTGTTTCTATTTTACGTTTCTTTGCTGCTACAGGGCATGCAGAAACACTGTGAAGATTAAAAAAAGTACCAGTAACAACAATTTTGAATGCAATTCAAATTTTCTGACCTCACCATCAGCTTATATAGTAATGATGAAATCAACTTTTTGTTTCCACCAAAAAAGGTAATATGAATTTTAATTCATGAAAGTCATCTATATTCTTATTAGAGCTAAGAACAGATGTACAGATGGTCAAATTAATTAAATCATAACAAGTGGAACTGTCAAACATCATACAAAAAAAAAATTATTAAGAAATATGACTCTAGATTCTCAAGATTTCAGGTTGAAAATACCATGAACATTTTTTTTAGCCTTATTTTAATTTTACTACCAGGAAACGATGAAAAATATGGAGCAGTAAATAAACAGGTAAGCAAAGGGAGCAATGTCAAAATCTTCTTAGGAAATTGGCCTTTTGCAGTGAAAACATTGAACATATCCTCATGTTCCATTATAAAGTCAATGTAAATACAACTTTATCTAATTTAGTAATCTATTGAACAATATTTAACCATCAGTATGTAATCTCAAACCTTTAGAACAACAGCTATGTTATTCTATGTTGTAATTATTTAGCCTGTCCTGATGAAAATAAGTGCAGCTATATTCATAAGAAATGTACATAGAGGAACAGACACTATAGGATTAAATGCTTTATGGATATTCTTGAAATGTCCTTCCTTTATGTTAGAAGTGAAATGAAAAAAAAAGTGTCTATAAAGAAGATTAATTGGAAATAAAATGGATGACACAGTATAATGGTTTGTTTTACTTAAGTTTCCTTCTTATGGCACTTATGACATTTTGCTTTGTAGCAAACAAAGAAAATTGTGGATAGCACTGTGTAATAGTTGCTATATCCTATCAACACTGTACCATCTATTTCAATTTTCCAAAGTGTGGTCTAGAATTGGTAATAATACTGTGTTATTCCACACTTTGCTATCTATTTTAATGACTCAAAGAAAAGTGCAGGCCAACACTTGATAATACATTGTGTATAATAATGTATATAGTTATTGTAGTTTACATCCAGATACAGTCATTCCAAATTAATACCTTGACCTTTTAAGTTATTCATGAACATGAATAGATATGTATCAAAAATACCATAAGCCTCTGAAGAGTATTTTGGAATATCGGTAGAAATTTTGCTAATAACACAGTAACTTAAGGAGTAAAAACTATTAATATTTGTCTTGTTCATGCATAATATTTAATGGTGGCATGTCAGACTCCTCAGTTAATGACACCGGAAGAGAAGTAATGCATATAAATGAAAATTCACACATAAACCTGCAATTAATTTGTTGTAAGTAATCTGTTTTTTTCAAAATATAAAATTCAAGCTTTGAAAATTGTTTTAGGAATATTTTGAGAAGGTAAGCCACTGAAATTGTTCCTTCATAATACAGAATTGGTTGCTAATAAATTACTTTCTATTGCAAAAGACTTTAACAAAAAAGTGTTGCTGTTGAACATGGGTCAGAGAAATAAATTAAGTAAGATGCTGTCGGGTAGTCAATATCAGACTTGGATATTGGACATATCAGTTCTGCTTCCTGTACTCAGCAAACACTTAATAAATAAAAGACTACAAAAAAAAGTTGCAGGAATTGGCACCGGAGGTGACTGTAATGATTATGAACAGCACTGTTGGAATGGAGCCATATAAATGGAGTGATTGATTGGCTGATTAATTGATAATGATATTGATATCATAAAGAAGACTGTGCGATAATAACAACATTGACAATGATATGACGATGATAATAATAATGATGACAATAATAATGACAATGATAGAGATGAAGGCAATATTGGCAATAATAATGCTAATAAATGATAATGACAGTAATGTTGATGACCGCAGTGACAATGACAATTTTTTATTGATAGTAAAACAGTAGATTCATGGAGTAAAAATATTCCACCACACGAAAATGATGACATTACAGATACACGAATGTGTGATATAATTGTGCTGCTATAAATTTAGATTTGAAAATCCATTCTTGAAAATGGATCAGATTGAGACGGAGTAAGCACGGATTAAATGTCAATGATTATATTCCGTGATCAAGTGCTAGTCGTTTATATCGCACAAACTTAGAAGCTACACAAAGCGGTATAAACTAGCACTTTCCGTCTTATACATAATTATATTGTAATGCCTACCAACCATTTTTTCAAGCAATGGCTTAGGCCTACATTCTTTTCTTTAAGAAATACAGAAAACCATCTTATTAGTCGACAAGTTTTATCTTTACCAAAGTAACAGGATGAACTTAACACATTTAGAGGTTTTGTGTTATTTTCATAACTTAATTTAGGCCTTCAAATAAATACTGTATTATATATATACAATGTCTTAAAGCTTAATTGTATGGTATGTCCATTTGCAGATGCTGGAGTTTTGAATTTTCACGAAGTATTTAAATAATAAAAAATAAATTAATATATCATATAAAACACAATAGGCCTACAAACGTCAATTGTGTGTTAACATTATAGTGACCAACTACAACACTACTGCATATTATACTATTAACACATGAAAAAACGACCTTATCTAAAAATGATAAAATTATAATGTGCTTGAGTATGTATTACCCATACAACTAGACTCTAAACCATATTACAATGGTTTATACATGCAGTCTGGGTTAGAATCTCGTTTGGCGTCAATTTTGCCCCACGCTCACAGATTTTTCTCATTGAAAACTACATTAGCCAGGGGAGAATCCAGTGGGGGGGAGGGGGCACGTTATGCCATTACTCACTTATCTATTCTGAATAGGTTGTTCCCCCTGTTTGAAAAATTCTGGATCCGCCCCTGTAAGCTAATATAATTACTCAGTGAAAATTTAAAACAGAACTAATCCAAGGCATTTATAATCTTTCCTAGTAGCATCCTTACTAATGAACAGGTAATTGAGAGTTTTGGATTCTTCCAGCAGACTCCACAGACTGATTACTTGTGGCTCTTGAAGGGTTTTTACAAATTGAAATGACATCGGAGATCATCAAGAATTTGAGCATGCATCAGAGATGAGGCTTACCCAATAGCACTCAATTATTATAATGGACATATTAATTGCTTTACAGAGAACTTGATGAGTAAAGAGGATTTGGAGAATATCTAATCATAGGTTCAGTTTCATTATGCAAACTGTTTGTTGTGGTTACTACTTTTAATTTAGATTCTTATATTATAATTTTCTAATGGAAGTTTAAAAAAAAAAAAATTACTGTTCCCATACAGGAACCTGAGGCTTGGCAGTTAAGATGACTACCTTCTAATCCCTAAGTCCAGGATTCAATCATGGACAAACATAATTGAGACTTTATTAACATTCAAGAACACCTTTAACTACTTGGACTAATAAACTGACTGATTATATAATGCATCTACTGTAGGTTGAAATTATAATCATCTTCATTGAAAGAATCACCCTTGTTGAATATTACATGTTGATAAAAAATATGGACATCAGTTACTGTAAAAACAATTACCGGTTACATTTTTGTTGAATCATAAATGCTATCAAAATTCAGCTATAATTTCTTTTTTAAAAATACACATTAAAATCAACATTTTCAGAACTATTTCATTTTCATACAGTATACAGTAAGCTATCAATTAGCATAAACCGGGTTTTTTTTTGTCATAAAAGTTAACAGCTTTGATGATCCATCAAATTGAATAATTTGAAAGTGGTGTTGTTACTATACTATGAACCTTGACCAAGTATACGCATCAGTAGAACATTAGAATGAACTTTGGACACTATTCTTACAAACTCTTACAAGTTGGTTTGAACTTGCTGAACAACGATATCTTACTCAAAAATAATATTAAAGTATGTGAAATAAATTGAAACACATACAAAATAAATGATAGTAAAATTGGCTTAACTCTCATCATCAAAGCATATATTATGGGTAGAATGGGGTATTAACATACAAAGCCAGAGTCAATACCATACCTTCTATGTTTGGCAAACTTTCCACTGACGTGACCGGAGCCATCGCAACCATACGTCGGACACCTGCAGGAAAATATTAACACCTGTTAAATTCACACACAATCTGGTAAACATTCTAGATTTAAGTATTCAGCAAGTATTAAAGCATTTGTTGTGTATGGTATTATCAGGTGAACACTTAAACTAGTTCCATGCTTCCTTGCATTGTCCCTCCCTCTGCTGTTGTGTAATACACAGCGTTTGCCACAGAATTATCAGCTCAACACTAATGGCAAAGTGAGTTGGACAGTCTTAATATTGTCCTTCCTACTCCTGTTTTGAACAACAGCAATTGTCATTAAACTCAAAAGTGGTTCCATCTGTCTTTGTGTCGTTCCTCCTGGTGATACTGCATTTGTCATAGTACTATCAGATTATATTTAGGGGAAAGAAAATTTTACCATTCCTTGTTCCACTGTTCTTCCCAGTTGTTTAATATAAAGCAAGCAGATTCCCCAGGACCCATCTTGAATTTATCCACTATAAAATTATTTAGTTGTTAATTATTTACTTAATAAACATATAATAATGCATATTTTGTAAGATGTGTTTGGTTTCTTTTTAATGAGGATAGTAGCCTTATAGGTTCTATACCCCTGGTATTCAATCTTTATAGCTAGGGGCCAGTTTTTAATCTATTGAGACCACGGCTGACCGACATAAATTTTTACTTCCAATTTTTCAAATGTCAGCCCCACCCAACTTTATATAGGCTTACAAGTCTTCCTAATAGGCCTAGGCCTATTATTAGCCTTGGTTTTTCGACATCATAATAAGCCTTGTTTTGTAAAAATGAGGGAATGCAGTTGGCATAGGGAAGGGTGGAGGATGCAACAAATCTCCTACCCTTCCACCACTAGAAATTTTCCAAAAAAAAACAACCCTAATACGCAAGGAAGTTTAGCGATGTTGTGCAAGCCGGATAAAAAAACATTTGGCGGGCCTGAGTTTGCCCTCGGGCCAGCGGTTGAATTTCGGGGTTCTATACTACACAATTCAAAGGCTGACCAAACATTATTTAGTCAAACTGATAACAATGTTTAAAGAATTATTTGCATTGTATTATGTAGCATACAATAATGATATACAAGAATACAATTTAAAAATTTAAAATTTTACTATAAAAATGTTGAGTATCAAAACATGATGACAGTGCAATCAATAAAATCATTAGATTCACCAGATGTTCTTCAGACTTCAACTCTAACTTAACTAAACCATTTCTTTTGTGGAAGCCTTCAAAACACTCAATAGCACTCGGGAGCTTTTATTAGATGTGGTTTTACACGACAACTTATATAGCCAAACCGAATGCTTGATAGACACACAAGCAAACAAACTTTCAACCGATAAAAAAGTCGAATACTCAGAATACATTAAGCTGTTTAGTTTGGCGCATAAACTCCTCAAGTTGATTCCATACTACAATAATCAATCTTGATTGAAGCTCAGAATTAATATATTTGAACAAAGTACATAAAGCCATATGGCAAAGACCTTACTACATGACTTAATCAACATCTTACAAAAGCCAAAAACAATGGTACTGTTTGCAATTAAGATTGTTATTGTCTATCTTTTTTATTGGGAAAAAGAGAACTGTTCTCTTTGGAAATATGTACAGTAATACCCATAGTTATGCCATGGAAGTTGCAATGAAGTGCACCCTCAGTAACACAGTGGTGGTGAA